TAGGATTTTTAATCCATTTTTAAAGAATATTTTTGAACATTTTTAGAACATTTTTTGATCTGCTCCAGCTCGCTTCCCCCTCTCCCCAGAGTTTTGCCAAGACCGTCTGCGTTTGACGTTTCCTGAATAATCCTGACTGGGGAAGCGATGTTTCCCAAAATCGTCATTGTCCCGTGTTTGGGGTGGCTTTTGGGGGGGGACAGAGGGGACTGGAGCTGCTCCTTTATGGCCAAGGCTGAGGGAACCACGGAGAACCTGAGCAATTTGTCCCACACGTGGTGGGACACAGCTTGCTCCGGGTGACACTTCTGGTCCACCATGTTTCTATGGAAAACGCAGTGGTTTTTGTTCTTAACACCTCAAATTTCCATTTTTTGAGTGTCAAGTGCTCCTTGACGCATCATTACCAGCATCGCCACATCTAAAGCCACTTCCTCCTAGGAAGCACTAAAAAGTGCGCAGGCGCTCTTGCTCTTGCTCTTCCTCCTCATCGTGCGCATTTTTGTGTGCTGGTGCTCCAGACCCTCTCCGTTTCTGGACATCCATGGACGTGTTTTGGATCCCTCATCTCGCCATCCTCATGCTGCTCCACCAAACCAGTGAGTGCCGGGTGCTCCTTGTCCCCTGGGAAGGAGATCTTGGGGTGGTTTTGGGGTTTTTTGGGGTAGAGGGATGGGTGGGAGCACCAGAGCAGCTCCATGGGGGTGGATTTGTGTTCATTGTTGGGATCCAGGGCTGCCATGGAAACCTGCTGGAGGGCTGGTGTCCATCTCTGGTGTCCATCTCTGGTGTCCATCTCTGGGGTCCATTTCTGGTGCCCTTCTCTGGTGTCCATCTCTGTGTCCATCTCTGGTGCCCTTCTCTGGTGTCCATCTCTGTGTCCATCTCTGTGTCCATCTCTGGGGTCCATTTCTGGTGTCCATCTCTGGCCCAGCCTCTGTTCCAGATGTTCTCCACACATCTGGCTCGGACTTCAGCTCCTGCTCCTCTCCATGTTGCCTCCCTGGTTTTGGGGGTCTCATCTTGGGGGGAAAAGAGGGAAATTGGGCAAGGTTCAGCCCTTGCCCACTCTGAGGGGGTTTATCGTGTGAACCATCCCATGGTTTCATTATTCCTGCGGGTTTATCTCCCCCTGCAGCTTTTTCCTTCCACGAGCTCCCCTGTCCGTGTCCCAGGGGTGGCTGAGGCTGAGGGAGACAGAAATTCCGAGCCCGACCTGGGGGCTGGGCCAGGATCAGTTCCCTGTTAGGAAAACTGGGAAGGAGAAAACTCCATTCCTGGTATAAATGGGATGACATGGTTCATTGGAAATGGGAAGTTGTTAAAATAACAAAAACAACTCCTTCCTCCTCAAATTGGTGAGCCAAGGGCATGGTGGGGCCACTGGAGGGAAGGGCTGGGTCCAGAGGGATCCTGGACCTTGTCCTGGGCTGCATCCAAAGGAGGGTGGAGGGTTCTCACCTCTGGAATGTGGGAATCCACCTGGAATGGTGAGATCCTACCTGGAATGGTGAGATCCAGTCTGGAATCTCCAGATCCCACCAATTCTGGTGCCCCCAGCATGAGAAGTTCATGGAACTGTTGGAGCCAGTCCACCGTTCCCAAGTTCCCTTCCCTGTGGCCACAGGGCGTGGTCAGCCTGGAGAAGCCGTGGTGGAGCTGCCCTTCACCCCAACTTCATCCCACCTCATTCCTACCTCCATGCCCCCTTCAACCGACCTCCATCCCACCCTGAGCTCACCTTCATCCTACATTCCCCCCACCCCCATCTCAAGTTCTCTCCCCATTTTCTCTCCCCAGTGAGCGCCAGTGACCCCACGGAGGTGATCGGGGTTCTGGGCAAGTCCGTGACCTTCCACACCCCCAACACAGACGCAAATCCAGCACTCTGGTTTTTTGGGGATAAACCCATAGTGACTGTGGCATTTGAGGATCCTCCTCAACCCATATTTTATAAAGACAAATTCAAAACCCGTTTTGCTGTCTCTGAGAGAGGCCGCGCACTCAAAATCTCCCAGCTGAGGATGGAGGATGCCGGGACCTACTCTGTAACAATCAACGGAAAAAGATCCAACTTCACCCTGCAGGTGTTCAGTAGGTTTTGGGTTTCAGCTGTTCGTGCTGTTTTGGGGCGCCTTTAGTGCTGTTTTGGGGGTGCTTTCAGAGCTGTTTTGGGGGTGCCTTTAGTGCTGTTTTGGGGTGCTTTCAGTGCTGTTTTGGGGTGCCTTTGGTGCTGTTTTGGGGGTTTCACACTAAAAGAGACGTTTCTGATACCGTGGTGCCTGCAGGGGAGCTGGCAGAGCCCACGGTGACCTGCGAGGCCCAGAACTGCTCGGACGGGAGCTGCAGCTCCTCCCTGCGCTGCTCCGCATCCGGCACCGGCTTTGGGAACATCTCCTACACCTGGAGGGTGGGGGATCAGGACATGGACGGGAGCTCCGTGGTGCTGATGGTGAACGAAACATCCCAGGATGGGCTGGAGCCGGTGACGTGCACGGCACGGAACGCCGTCAGCAGCAAGAGCATCACCATCACCAACCTGGGGCAGCTCTGCGCAGGTGAGAACCGGGGACAGGTGGGGAAAGGTGGGGTGGGCTGATCCTGATCCCTGAGAGCAGGAAAAGCTGGGATTTGGGGCTGGGATGGGCTGATCCAGATTCCCTGAGAAACACAGGAATGCTGGGGCTGGGACGAGCTGATCCCTATCTCTTGAGAGGCATGGGAACATTGGGATTTGGGGTTAGGATGTGACTGGGAATGTTGAAGTTGGGATGGGCTGATCCCGATTCCCTGAGAAACACAGGAATGGTGGCGTTGGGATAGGATGGGAAAGCTGAGGTTGGGATGGGCTGATCCCACTCCTCTGTGCACCATGGGAAGGTTGAATTTGTGGTTGGGATGGGATGGGAAAGTTGACGTTGGAATAGTCTGATCCCAATTCCCTGAGAAACACAGAAATGGTGGGGATGGGATGGGATGGGATGGGATGGGATGGGATGGGATGGGATGGGATGGGATGGGATGGGATGGGAACGCTGAGGTTGGGATGGGTTGATCCCGATTCCCTGAGAAGCATGGGAACACTGGGATTTGGGGTTGGGATGGGGATGGGAAAGTTGAGGTTGGGATGGGATGATCCCAATCCCCTGACAGCCATGGGAACATTGGGATTTAGGGATGGGATGGAATGTTGAGGTTGGGATGGGATGGGATGGGATGGGATGGGATGGGATGGGACGGGATGAAAATGGGAATGTTGAGGTTGGGATGAGCTGATCCAAATTCTCAGAGAGCCATAGGAACACTGGGATTTGAGGTTGGGATGGGCTGATCCCTCTGCCCTGAGATTTTCTGCATCTTTTCCCTTTTCCAGGTGCCCTCTCCAGCGGCCAGGTCGGGGTCATAGCCGGGATTTTGGTCCTGGTCCTTTTGTTGATTTTCCTCATGGTCTTGTGGAAATTCAAAGGTGAGCATGGAAAACCATCCCTGGAGCCCTGGGGAGCAGGAGGTGGGATGGAGTCAGGATGGGGTTTATTTGGGACTGATATGGGGCAGATTTGGGGTGGATTTGGGGTAAATTTGGGGCAGGTAAATTTAGTGGGTACCATCTAAGTGGGTCAGGCCCTTCGTCCCGAAGCAGGGGATCAAGAAGGAGGCAGTACCACAGGTCCAGCAAGCATGTTGGTGTCGGCGGAAGAAACTATCCCATCAATCCTCCTCATTCTCTCCAGATCTCACTCCAGTTACTGAAGAACCCTCTCCCCCAGCTTCTCCTCCACCCCTTGATCTTTTATACCACCTTTCCTCCTTTTTCCCCCC